TAATTTACTCTAACTCATTACTATGCTATCATATTAAGATAACATGATTTTAAAAATTAAAATAAATATTAAAAATAGTTAGGGGATTGGCGCGCGAAGAGCGCAGGGGGGCGAAGCCCCCCTAGTTAGAATATAATAAAGTTTTTTCTATAAAATATTTAACCAAGTACAAAAAATAAAAATTATAGATTGTTGAACACTGAGGTAATCCTCTGTAAATGAGGCGACATCATTAATTACAGAAAATTCATCTGTCGAACAAATGTGTAACAATTTCAAAAAATGTAAAAGACAAATATAAATTCAATAATAAAAAAAGGTAAAATACACTTTATATATTGCGCAGTTTTTTATAAGTCTACTTTACAAGTGTAACATTACTTTAAAGAAATTCTACCCCGGCCCCCCGTTACAAAGCGTAGTTGTATGCATGACCCCCCCCCCCTAAATTGGTAACGTAGTTTATGGACGACCCCTTATAGTGATAACGAAAACAAAGAAGTTCAAGACTTGAATGTGGATCAACGTCGAAATGAGAAAACAAAGAGATTACCTGGACGTCCTCGTAAAAATAAAACAGGTAAACGAGGGAGACCCAGCAAAATTTATAACACAGAAAACGTCGATGAAACAAGTGAAGAAGAAAATCCAGAACAGGCCAATATTGCTGAAATCTCTTTGAAGGAAGCCCTTAATGAAAGTAAAGCCCAAGAATGGAAGAAGGCTATTCAGGATGAATCCCAGGCTCTTATCAACAACAATACATGGGAACTAGTTGATGATTCGGAACGACAAAACACAGTAGGATGCACAATAGTTTTGAGAAACAAATTTGATGCTAATGGAACACTGTAGAGAAGAAAGTCACGACTAGTAGCGAAAGGTTATTCACAACGTCCCGGGCTGGACTTTAATGAGACATTCGCTCCTGTCGTTAGACTCAGCTCTGTAAGACTCTTAATGGCACTTGCTGCAGAAAATAACATAATGGTTCACCAACTAGATATAACAACTGCGTTTCTCAATAGTGAACTGGATGAAAAGGTGTACATGGAAGTACCCGAGCTTCTTGAAAAATCGCTACAAGATATTATCGAAAAGGAAAAATATGACAAGATGACAGTCGATTTAGCTGTGAAAATGCTACAAGAATTGCAAAAAGGGAATAAAGTTTGCCTACTGAAGAAGGCAATATATGGACTCAAACAAGCCGGAAGGCAGTTGCACAAAAAGCTCAGTGAAGTGTTAAAAGGACTTAATTTGACAGCTCTAAATTCTGACGTTTGTGTATACGCTGGAAAACAGGACAATACAGTGATCATCGTTGCAGTGTATGTGGACGATGTGTTAATTATTTCGAACGACATAAATTGGATCATCAAAATAAAACAGCAACTGATTGTGAGTGTCTTCTTTTCTGTAAAAGACTTAGACAAGGTGAAATCTTGTCTCGGAATGGAATTTTCTTTGAAGGATGACTGCATAAAAATTTCTCAAAGTGGATACATTGAGGATGTATTGAGAAGATTCGGAATGGAAAATTCAAAACCCGTTTTAACACCCATGGAATCAGGATTGAAAATGAATATAGAAGATGAAGACTCAAATGAAGAATCCGAGGAATATCCTTGTAGACAGCTCATTGGGAGCCTAATGTATCTATCCATCGGAACCCAGCCAGATATAGCTTTCTCAGTCAATTTTTTAAGTCAGTTCAACAATTGTCATAAAAAGCTGCACTGGATAGCTGCCAAGAGAATTCTCCGCTATCTCCGTGGAACTATTCATATAGGAATCATCTATAGGAAAACCTGTGAACCCCTAAAAGGCTTTGTTGACGCAGATTGGGGTGGTTGTTCACGCGATAGAAGATCTTATACAGGACTTGTATTTTTACTTGCAGGTGGTGCTATTACTTGGGAGTCAAAGAAGCAGAGGACGGTAGCGCTTTCGACAACCGAAGCGGAATATATGGGATTGACGGAGTCAGCAAAGGAGTCAATTTACCTTAGTAGATTTTTAAAGGAAATTGGATTAAGTGATCAGAAAGTCGTCCAGATCTTTAACGACAACCAAGGTGCTCAAAGTCTTGCAAGGAATTCCATCTTTCACTCCAGGACTAAGCACATAGCTATTCGTCATCATTTCGTACAAGAGGCATTAGAGCACGGTTGCATTTCATTGCATTATGAACAATCATCGGAAATGATGGCTGATGGTTTTACCAAAAGCTTTGTCTGGAGCAAAGCATTAAAAGTGTATAGTGAGTTTTGGAATAGACTGTTGAACATTTAAATTAAAGAGAAAGTTTCGTGCGCTTGAGGGGGAGTATTGAAACTGGTGATCTTATAGCAATCTACGGCACTGTCAGTATATGGCTTCATCAGAGCCCTCTATTTCTGTTTATAGTTTTTTTTAAATGCACGCTGTTGCAGCTATGTTCATTTAGTCTACGTTCGTACTGACAAAAAAACGTATTAGAAGTTCTGTAGACTTAAAACTTGCTTTGAATATATTCTCTCGTTTATATAAGTTTACATTTGTTTTACTATTATTCCCGATTCCATCCACATAACTCTAATATTTTTTAACAAACAGAACAGATATATTCTTTTAATGAACCTAAATTAGAAAATGATAAAAAAACAAATTTGTACGTGAAGTGGATCCAAAGTTAACAATTTGTTAACTAATATTGTTTATAACATTTGAAATAAATTATTTTAGGCTTTACTATTTATCTAGGGGTTACATTATATTAATTCAAACTGATTTAGGACATGTGCAGTAACGGATAAGAAAATAATCGTCCTTTTTTTAAAAAAGTATTAATTTGTTATCTTCAATTAAAAAAAATTATAAATAATAAAACATTTATTTAATCAGTTGCAAGGGATGTCTTGAGAATTTATTTACCATTTATTTTAAACAAAGAACACCAAAATCGGTTAAAAATTGTAGGCTGTAGACATTTTTAACCCATGATAAGGACCAGACGGACGAAAAATTTCAATTGACTTTGAGGACCTCGTTTTTTATTAAAATGCATTTAAAAAATTGGCACATACCATTTGTAATGTAAAATTTACTCCTCTTTCAGATTCTGCTGTTAAAATTTGTTTATACCAAAGTGTTAAAAAGTTATAAACAATTTTTTCCAAAAAACACGATTTTTCGAGAAAAAAATTTTATTTCAAACGTATTTTCACCGGAAAAAAGCAGGTAAATGCTCTTAAAAGTTCAAAATATCGCGTCCATGGACCCTCGGCTACAAAACCTTGAGGCGAACAATTTTTTTTTCTAAAATCTAAAAAAATGGCTCACATATAAAACATAGTGCTCCAACTTTTTCAAGTGACTAAAATCGCCTGAAACTCGTCACTCGGGGGTTCTTGGGGTTGCTGTTTAAGAATATGATGCTAGTTATCAAAAATTAAAAATGGCGGATTCAATATGGCGGACAAGTTTTGTAAAAATTATTCAATTCACCTGAAACTCTCTACTCGAGGGTTTTTTGGGGGCGCTGATTACGAATATGATGTCAGTTTTCGAAAATTTAAAATGACGGGTCCAATATGGCGGGTGCATATTTAAAAACCCTTCGAATTTGCTTAAAACTCGTCACTCGGGGTTTTTTGGTGTTCCAATTAACCTAAAACTTTTTTCTTGTGGGTTTTCAAGGTCGTGGATTACGATTCTTATGTCAGTTTTTTAAACTTCAAGATTGCGGATCCAATATTGCGATTAATTTTTAAAAACTTATCTAATTTCCCTAAAACTTTTAACTTGAGGGTTTTCGGGGTCGCTAATTGTGAATCTGACGTCATTTTAAAAAAATTCGAAATGGCGGATCCAACATGGCGTAAGAAAAATTTTAATGTCGTCTATTTCACTTAAAACTCGTCACTCCGAGGTTTTCGGCGTCGCTGATTACGAATATAATGTCAGTTTCCAAATCAGCGACTCCGAAAATCCCCAAGTAAGAAGTTTCAGGGTAATAAGATTATTAATAAAAGTCATCGTCGATATTGGATTCGCCATCTTGAATTTTTAAAAACTGACATAAGATTTGTAATCAGTGATCTTGAAAACCCAAAAGTAAACAGTTTAAGGCAATCGGGATAATTTTTAAAAAATTAAGCCATATTGGAATTGTCATTTTAAATTTTGAAGAACTAACAACGTATTTGTAATCAGTGACCCCAAAAACCCTCGAGTGACGAGTTTTGATCAAATTCGACATTTCAACCCTTAAAGCGCACACATACGAATCCATCCTTAAACCACACACTGGGTGTGTAAAGTCCCGGGGACTTTACAGTGTGTTCTCCAAGCTGGAATAGGATATTATCTTTTATAAAAATTATCTTATGTAGCTCAGTACATCTATTTTGAAGGAAAATAGGTTTCATAATGATTTATTTAATCTTAACCCTTGGTCGGGCAAGCTAAAAAAATTACACAAACGGGCAAGCGGGGTCCATTGGACCCCGCTAAAATTTGAATGCTTTTCTGAATTTAAAAAACGTAGATCTTTTTATATTTGATTTTCTTTTTATTATATTAATAATTTAAACGTATTAAAATATAAAAATGACGATTAACATTTAAAATTTAAATAAAATTAAAAAATTTTTTTTTAAATTTAATTTAAATAACATTTTTAAATTTTTTTTTTAAATTTAGTTTAAATAACATTTAAATTTTTTTTTTAAATTTAATTTAAATAACATTTTTAAAATTTTTTTTAAATTTAGTTTAAATAACATTTTTAAATTTTTTTTTAATTAGGAAAAACACGTCATTCGCTGTTGAATTCATTCATCGACGTTGATTTGACGAACTTGTCGCAACGAATTTGAGTTACAGAATACTCTATGCAAGTATTTTTACGACAGACTGCGCGTAAAACGAACGTGGGCATAAAACACATCGCTTTTTTCTCTCTTCGCTGGTGTTGTCGACAATGTTGAAGGTTGCTTTGATCCTTAAAATGTTGTTTAAGCTTCATTAAGAACCAAATCAATGCTTAATCGATGCTTAGTGCGTAAACTCACCTTGCTTCTAGCTTTTATTTGTTGGTAGACCAACTGTTCGCTCAAATTGACCAAGAACCACTTTCTTTGCTTACCAACAGGTTGCTCACTTTGTCCCATCACATTTTGATAAATAATATGAGCTGCAATTCCAGCGGCGTTGATTAAATTATAGAACGTAGCTAGTGGCCAGCGATTCGTTTGACGTTGAACTGAATAAGTGTGAAAAAGTTGGTCTAAAGTATCGACACCTCCTTTCGTTTTATTATAAAATAGATTCATGATAGATTTCCCATTTGCGTTTACTTCGTCATTGAAATCTAGAGTTGACAAAATCACCACAGCCTTGCTTGGTTTCGGAACGTGAGATAAAAGTGTTCTCATCTGCCGGAAGCCAAACAAATTGCTTCCTGTATCACGACGACGATTCGGAAGAAATTCTTGTGGAATGAATCTCTTATTCTTTCGGACTGTTCCTACGCACGTCAACCCGTTCGATTTCAAATTCTACGCCAATTCGAAAGAAGTAAAAAAAATCTGCCCGCCCTTCGGGCGGACACATTCTCATCCGCGCTTCGCGCGGGAGGCTCGCTTCGCTCGCAAGTTTCAGCGCGCCTCGGGGCGCGCGAATTTTAGTCGTCGCGCTTCGCGCTCCGAGGATTGTTGCGCGCTTCGCGCGCAAATAGCTCGCATCGCTCGCTACGACTTTCAGGATTACATTCTCATCACATATTTTTGCTTGCTGATAATTGCGAGATTAAGTGAACTTAAATGCAAATTTTTGTTTTTGCTGATCGAAAATGAGAAATTATTTTAACTACTAAATATTTTCGCAGAAATATGGGTTGTTGAAGAAGCTACAATATTTTAAAAATACAAGTCGGGTAACAGTGACAAGCCTTAAGCCGCTCACTGCTACTTGACTAGTATTATTCCTTTCAACCACGCGTTCGTCCCCTTATTGCAGCCAGCCCTTCATTTGTCAATAACAATTATTTGTATAAACTGCTGCTCAAATTGATTAAATCATAAAATATCTTTATGTTTTTATGAACATCTTAATTATTCGCAAAATTTAAAAATAACCCTAGTTTTTAGGCGCTTTAGATAAGAAAAATAATAAAATAATAATTACTACATAGTATACTTCTTATGAGATTCAATGCAATTCGAGGGGCAAAACATATAAAAAATTCAAATTGTTTATAAAATTATTATTAAAAATATGAAATTATTAAATTTACAATCATGAAAATATTTTCATTTGAAAGAGTGAACTACTATGTGTAGTCAGTGTAAATTTCATTAATTTACTGTAAACGCATTTTAAGTTATCAATTATTTTTTAAAATGATGTAGTATTCTGTTCTAATGCAAACAAAAAATTTCAAATTTAAAAAAACAGTTAAAAGTTTTACTTTATATATTCTAAACAACCGATATTTATAAAAGTTTTAAGATTTAAAAAAAACAATAAATTTTTTTAACACAGTAGAACTGGTCGGGCCTAAAAACTTAAAAAAAAAAAAAAAGTTTTTTAAAAAAAATGTTGTAGAGAAAAGTTGTTTGTATTTTCCTAATCTAAAGTAATATAAAGTTAAAAATTCTGAAATTTGAAAAAATTGAGTTTTCAAAATTTTGAAACTACCGTAGTTTTTGTAGTTTTCAAGGAAAATGGCTGGTTAACGAACTTAACCTTCATTTTTACACCAACTTTAAGTGTGTTAAATTTAAAAACGATCAGATAAGATTTTTAAAAGTTATTGTGTCAACAACATTTTGGTCTACAGACGGACATACATACAGACAGACAGACACACAGACAGACGGACTCGCAGGACCATGTTTTTCGGGTTCAGGGGACCTCAAAACGTAAAGATTTCATAAAATTATCAAAAGTCAATTTTCGACCAAAACTAATACTTTCTCATGTGATGAGAATGTAAAAATTGACCATTGTTACATTTCTACCTGTTCTATAATACGGCTCACATAATTCGGTAACGACAGTTTGTCTTGGAGTCACAAATCCAAAAAATTTGCATTCCATATTTGTCTGACTTTGAAGGTATGTATTGTTTGAAAGAACAGCGACCGCGAAAAGGAACCGGTCAACGCCTGCAGCAATCAATAAACCAATGAAACCTTTCAATTCAATACAATCTATATCTTTCCAGTTGTTATCATGTTTCTTTGCTTCAATATTTGTGTGCTGTACCGCACAATGATATCGATTATAGCGTCATCAAAAATAAGCTCAAAACAATCTAATACGCTTCCCAAACGTTTACCGAGCGGCAGGACTACTTTGCCCAATTTCGAACGCGAATATTTTGAAACATTCAAACGATCGCGTCTAGTATCAATAGGAACTGAACTCCATTCAGTTAAGGGGAGGTTCCCATTGCGGGAGTCAAAAAAATTGATTTCTTTTTTATTGTATTTTTTTAAAGCTATATATATGTAGAATATGTGTGTATAGCGATTTTTTGATCCGAAGAATATTTTCGTTTTTATGGAGTCTTGAACTCACCGCCGTCCCGAGCACTGAGTAACAAATGTCAGGCAAATCGAATCAATTTTTAAAAATTTTGCAAATCTGACCTCAGAATCGTAAAGAGCGACCCTAAATACCTATAGATATTTATCATATACGCAAATTGAACAAAGAATTGCAAAGAATAAAATTATTGCACAAAAATGTTTCTCAAACTTTAAACGCGGTTTTCTCGAAACAAGATTTTTCAAACTGGTGGGCATCGTAGCGTCTAAACTATTTAATCAATCAACTTCGGGTTTGCGGCTAATTAAAGGTAACTAAATTCTACTGGGGTTATACCTATAATATGATAAAATTGTTAACAATAGAGATTTTTACAAGAGGTCAAATATGGAAAAATAATGCAAAAACGCAGTTTTTTTAAAAATGTGTTCGCCATTTGACATTTTATTAACTTTTTAACTATTTTTTAGGTATAACCTATTCTTTAGGATGTCACCTTTATAAAAATTTTTGAGTTTTTGTTTTAGACTAAAAATTGCGCAGTATAGAATGCCCACCGTTTTCCCTATTTAATAAAACATTATTTTCTAGATGCGCCATATTGGCCGCCATTTTGCATTTTTTTTTAAAATGAAATATATATTTTAAAAGTTCAAGAAAGTATCTTTATTTAGAAAAAAAAATTACATCGTTAAGTCATAGCCGTTCCTCGCAAAAAATTGTCAAAGTTTGTGTTTATTTTGGCCTCCGCAATGAGAACCTCCCCTTAAGTCGAGACCAATGTATGTCAAATGCTCTTCCACTGCTTTATTCAATATTTCTTCATCTAAATTAATGACTTCTTCTTTTTCATACTCTACGTCTGATTTGCTTTCAGATGCCGAATCTATTTCAACTTCATTCTCGCTTTGGTAGTCCTCATGATTTCTTTCGTCATCATCGGATGAATTTACTTGTATTGCGTTTACAATTTCACGCTCTGAGAGTCGGTTCTGGAATCGAGCAGAGCGTCTTGTAGCCACTCTGTACGCAAAATAAGACACAAATGACTTATTATTAAAATTTTTATTTTATAAAATAATTTATAATTTTATTAAAATTATTAAAATGTTTGTAAAAAAATAAACACTTGTATAAAAGTTTATTATACTTACTTGTGTTTATTTATACTTCCTTGTGTTTTTACAAACAAGACGAATAAATCGATAACAAAACAAATAATCAGAGAAATAACGAACAAACTTTATATCAATACTATATAAACTATATATCAATACATTAGTCGCACGTGATAAAAATGTACGCATTTGAGAATAATGTGTAACGTCAATAACGTATATAGAAATATTTTGTGTTTGGTTCGCAAAGGCAGTGCGAAAAAACTGTCAATCTGTATCCAGTCACGAAATAAACAACATCAAGATCGGTTGGTTTCACGAATTTTTTATACGAAAAAGGATGTTCTACCTTATCCACAGAGTTATTTGCGCCATTTACACTGGACCGTGCTTGCCCATTCGTGCCTGTAAAAAGTTTAAACACCTATGCGGCATCATTGACAATTGAAAAATGAAAACTGTTAAAGTATTCTGATGTATTTTTAGTCTATTTAAAAGAATTTCTAAGGTCAACTTATTTTTTCATATTGATTTGGAGAAATTAGAAAAATAGATACTCGCGGGGTCCACTGGACCCCGCTTGCCCGCCCAAGGGTTAATAACTACAAAAAAATTTTTTAAACTACTGAAATTACCTTAAACCGATAACTGGGCGTCAGCCACATAGAAATTCTTCGCTGTCAACTTCATAAAGTTATCAAATACACAAAGACACTTAGGAGAATAATGTCACTCACGGATCATAAAGTTAAGTACAAAATGTACCGTCCAATAGCGATACATGTTCAATTCTTACGAACTTAAACGAAATATTAGAGTAAAAAGCTAGAATATGGGTACCCCTGAGTAGAGAGTTTCAGGTGAATCCAAAATTTTTTGAAAACTGACATCATATTCGTAATCAGCGACCCCAAGAACCCCCGAGTAGAGAGTTTCAGGTGAATTGAATTAATTTTTACAAAACTCGTCCGACATATTGGATCCGCTATTTTAAGTTTTTGAAAACTGAAGTCATATTCGTAATCAGCGACCCCAAGAACCCCCGAGTAGAGAGTTTCAGGTGAATTGAATTAATTTTTACAAAACTCGTCCGACATATTGGATCCGCTATTTTAAGTTTTTGAAAACTGAAGTCATATTCGTAATCAGCGACCCCAAGAACCTCCGAGTAGCGAGTTTCAAGTGAATCCAATAAATTTTTACAAAACTTGTCCGCCATATTGGATCCGCCATTTTTAATTTTTGAAAAATAGCATCATATTCGTAAACAGCAACCCCAAGAACCCTCGACTAACGAGTTTGAGGCAATTTCAGTAACTTAAAAAAGTTGGAGCTCTATGTTTCATGTGTAAGCCATTTTTTCAGTTTTAGCCGCCATATTAGCGTCCGCCATTTTGAAAAAAAAAATGTTCGCTTCATGCCCAGCAAACATTGTTACATAACAGTTATGTAACAGTTATGTCACAGAATATCACACGTGATATAACATGATATGAACATGTGACACGAAATGTCGTAACATGAGGGTCACAGTTACATAATTGTTACAAGAAGGGTGATATAACAATTATGTTGCAGCGTGATATTTAATTATTATATCACAGTTATGTAAATATGTTACATAATTAGAAGAATTTGATACATAATTGTTATATCACACTTATATCACGTTGTGACTTATTATTATATCACAGTTATGTAAATATGTTACATAATTGTTATATGACACTTATATCACGTTGTGACTTATTATTATATCACAA